TCAAGCTCAAACCGTTAGTACTTTCGCGTGCTTGCTGGTTGAAGAAGAATTGAATTATATGCAACACTTTCTATGGGGTAGTTGGTTGGTTTAGAAAATACATGAAAAGAAAAGCTGCTTAAGAGTGTCAGTCGTAAACATATATCGCCAGAGTGTGTAGTGAAGGGTTTGAGTATGCTCATGGCTGTGTAAAAGAAACCCTTCAAATGGTCTCTGAGTAGGGAAGGTTCCTATTCCGCCGTCTTTTGTTTTTGCCTGAGTTATTTTACACGCTGAGGCTTTGATGGTACAACGCGGAGAAAAATTCGTTTGAATTTTAGATGAACATGTTTTTTCAATACACTGATAACCCAGAGAGGGAGCTCAAACTCCGAAATGTATAGCTCCTGAGACAGTGAACTCGACAGTTTTTCCGAGACCTGCGGACAACAGGAGCGGAATTTATTTTTNTTTTTTTTCCGAGAACTGCGTGGTGGATTTCACGGTCGGCTGCATCAATGAGAACCGAAAGTTGTGTAAAAATAGAAACACGCACAGACAACAGGAGCGACTCAATGGTAAAGATACAACAAGACAAATAAATAGAAACTATTTAGTTCTATATAGTTAAATATTGCACCTGTTTGTCTGAAAAACGTGGCGAAAAACGCTTACATTAAGCTTACTTATAGTTGCCAGAGGATCCACATCATTCGATATGATACCGTTGTCTTAACTATTACCTGTGCTTTCGTGATCATGCTTAAATCGCTGCCAAAACAACAGATCAGCTCGTCTAACGCTGCTGGTTGCTTTCTCTCAAGACTGTAGCTTCAGGAATATCACTTTCCTTTAATAAAACTGTAGACGTCTCCGCTTCACTTATCACCATATTGGAGTTGAAAATTCTTTACTCACCCGCCTCGTTTTCAGGCTTTCGTACAGTATCAAGGCTTACCCGAGCGGTCCACTAGTTATGAAATCGGTGTATAATGGGCATAGAAACAAATGGCTCGTTATCGCGATCGCCGGCGTCAGCTTTGTTATTCTAGTTAGCGACGAAATTTGAATGTTCCGTGAATTCATCGTTTTTGTCCTTCCAAAGGGTTAATATAAATCTGTTTTTCACTGTATTTTTATTATGTAACATGTTTTGGTCTATGTGAATGACTACGATGGTTTACCAAGAAAAAAAAACGCGATTCACGGTATTATGACTTCTTCCGTTTTCCATACTAAACGCAAAGCCAGCGTTTTCAAATTACTCAATTTTAAAGCGCGTTTATGTAAAGCTCCGTTTTCGTGACGGATTATATAGTGTGGACGATAGGCCTGACCGTGGAAATAAAGCTCGAGGGGTACCCCCTCATAAGGGCTATGTAGGTATGTGCGGCCCCAAAGGGTAGGGTTTTTCAGCGGTTTTGGTCATAAATAGGGTATCGATTTTGGCCATTTTGGTTATAAATTGGGTATGGTTTAAGCACTCTAGTCTTGAACTGGGTATGTTTCTTAAAAGAAGCTACTTTTTCATCGTTATCAATAAGACCGTCAATAAAAGCCCTTCATAACTTATGTTTAGGGCAACTGTGTAAGTCGCAACGGTCATGAATTAGATAGGCTATCAAATTTTTGGTCAGGTCATAGATAGGGTAGCAAAAAACGCATATTTTGGTCATAAATAGGGTAAGGGTTTTGGGAAGTGGGCCGCACACCCACACCCAACTTCTATTTTAGTTATATCCCCTCCCCCCCCCGGATATAAAGCCGCGTTTTCAAATTTCTCCGGCGTAGTGTGGACGAGGCATATATAATTATTAATGAACGAGAACTATTGAGAAGAACTTGGTGAAACTGTCTGGAAACGTTACTATAAGTTTCTTGGTTATTTTACAAAGCTGCACAGGGAGTCAAACAGATTGTGGTCGATTTCCATTTCTAGAATGGACACACAGTTGACACACAGTTGAACCGAGTACCACTCAAGCATGCACGAAGTACAATGCAACATAATTTCTAACCTAATTTACCCCATTCGTTCCAACAGGGTTTTTTATTTCGTCAAACCTATCTTAAAACTAAAACTCGTTCCAAGTATTTTCTAGACTCTCAGCCGCATTGCAAATGGACGAACGAATAACAATTACAGTAAAGCTGCACAAGCAACGAACCCACAAAGTGACGATAAAATGTTAATTCATTTTGTCCGTAATTTCTGAAAGTAGCTGCCCTTCAAAACAGTATATAAGAAACGTGTACTGTAAATAATAATAATAATAATAATAATAATAATAATAATAATAATAATAATAAAGAATTAAAAAAAGGACAGCCCGATAGTATACGGACACTTTCTGTGTTCGTTTCGTTTCCGTATCAACCAGGCTCAACACTAATATATCTTACTAGCAAGGTCCTTCGCTAAACAATATCGAGTATCCATGAAGGGGCGTGCCTTAATATCAGATGAACTTTATTCAAGAAACGTTCAATAATCTAAGACGAACGTTTCGATTCTTGGCAATCAATTAAAGTTTTGCCAGTTCTCAACTATATATCTTTTTGATTGTTGATAATAGCCAACAACAGATAGCAAATAGCGTTTCTTTTTTTTTTTTTTTTTTTTGACTATTGTCACAGTCTAAAGGTTGCGTAAGCTCGTTTTAATTTCTTACAGTTTTTTATTACCTAAATTAAGGTTGCACTTAGTATTTATTAATTTTCATAATATATATCTAGGACCCTGCCCGCGCTCTTATTGGTAAAAAACCCATGTTTTATCAGAGTATAAAACATAGAAAAAGCGTGTTTTATTGTTTTTCGCATGTAAAATCTATATTATAAAGTAAATGGTGAAGCCTAAGCCGTGTATTACACTGAAATTTGAACACTCAAGAAAGGTAGAAAAAACTCGCCTGCGGCTCGTGTTTTATACATTTCCCTCGTGTTTTCAAATGCCCGTCGTTTTTTATCATAGTGTAATACACGGCTTAGCCTTCTTTATTTGTTAAGTAAAGGCTCTTTGTAAGACGATATAAATATGAGCTGACTCCTTGTTTAAATTACGTTTTAACCTACACTTGAAGTTCAAAAAGCTCGAAGCATTTCAGTATAAATGTACGTGCGATTTAGAAAGTGTAAAATCAGATTAGCAATTTAACAGTTACACTTAAGCTTTGCTTTGTAACTAAGTTTTCTGTGACATCCATCTGGTGGTTACCAGACTCCCACCGAACTCACTGAAATCTAAAGAGAAGTCGGCTTCGCTGGACCCTAAAGAAAGTAAAAAGATAACAAGTATACTTAAATTTTCGTGTAATTGATAACTGAGGAGTGACCCATTTACGGCGCAAAGAAATTACGCCCATTGGCTAATAGACCTTCTTTACCATAGCCACCATGATGTTTTTTACTTATTACCGTAAAATTTCGAAAGTAACAATTCTCCGAAAGTAGGGATCTCCCAAAAGTAACGTTAAAAAAGTGTGCCCTTTAATGTTGTGACCCCCTAAAGTAGCAAGCCCCCTCCAATGAAATGGACCTCTACCCACCCTTCTAGCTGACGACAGCGAGACAAAGGTTCAAAAGTATATTTAATTTATTTTTTCAAACAGCAGTCAAGCAAAAGTTTCGTATGGTAACTTGATAATGAAAATTTATGTTAATTCGTTCTTAAATAAAGTTCATGTCGCGTCGTGTTAAAACAAAACCGGTAGAATTATCATCGTTTATTTCGTAAAAAGACCACAGTTGCACTAACTAAATATGACGTTTGTTTGTTTTTTTTTTTTTCCGAAGGTAGCGAGTCCCAATGTCTGCTTATTCTGAAATTATAGGTCTTTTGGAATTTTACGGAGTGCAAATCGACCCTCTGTCTGCTAGTGCCACACATTAAAAAGGAGACAGTTCTTCAATCGACCTTGTCTTTCGTTTCATTTTCTATTCCAAGGGAAAAAGGTTCAATTTGACTTTCTATATGACTTGGTCATCTAAATTCAATTTAAATTGATTTTGTCATTACTTTGATTACACTACCTAGACAAAGCAATCGCGCGCGAAAATCCGCCAGCTACACAGACTTCAGTCATACATGAGATATAAGGCTCAAAAGGCTCTTGAAAGGGTCAAATATTCGCGGGTAATCTAAAAGTTTCGGACTTAGCCCTTCTTCAGTAGGTGGAAAGGTGCATCTTATGAGTTTTTTTCTCATTCCTATTGAATTTCAGTCATACCTGTCGGTTTTGTTGTGTTGCGTGCTGTGCCTCTTCATATGACGGCGGGGACATGTCAGTGTGATGAGTGGCCATGGTTCCGTACGGAACAACTTGGACCAGCTGCGGTTGATTCCCATCCGCTGCAGAAACAGGTACCAGAACTATTTGAGGTTGGCCTTCCTGTACCCTTGGCGTGACAGTTTGGAGTGCAACCATGCCACAGTTCGATTGCATCGGAACGGCCACAGGAACACCACCAAGTCCCTGGGTCATGACAAAACCAGAACTGGCAGTGTACAATACGTGCCCCTTAGAAAAGAAAGACAGCAAATAGAGTAAAATTGGGCAAGATATTTATGGCGGACGCCAATGTAAAAATAGATTCAAATAAACATTCCCTTGAGTTGACCGGTGGCATTTGTTCTAAACTAATTATAAATTCCTCCGCAGTGTCTTTAAAAGAGATTTATAAGTAAGGTCTATCACTAAGGGTCTAACGGGGTTAGCAATTAGCCGTGAAACGGGCATAAACCGAAAGCGTTAAACGTAAACATTGGAAAAGTTTAACCATTAGCCGTAAAAAATGTTAACCGTAAAAAAGAAAAAAAAGGTTTAGCCACGAAAGTGAAAGCCTCAAGATCTGTCGTCAAGACTTTTAGTAGTACTGAAGCTCTATTACTCTACAGTTCTTATAATTATGTCTTTTTCCATTTCGGAATGAAACGAAATAACTTAAATATGTTTTACAGTAATCAAAATGAAACTTTCGCTTTTTTAAACGATGATAATTAATTTTGCACTTTTAAAACAACGATCATTGGTTTCTAAGGTTTCTCTTAACCGTGTAGAAAATGTGTTAATCGTAGGCCGTAAAAAAGCCAAATATTAACCGTTAGCCGTAAACGCCACCTCTCCGTTAAGAACCTCATCAGTCTCGGAAGACTTACCTGTTGTGCTGGAGTGTTACAACATGTACAAGGTAGGTACACCGCAGCCCAGATACCAATGGCGAACTCGATGATGCCGAGAATCAAAATGGCTACAGTAATAGACCTTGGGTGCCTGTCGTAGTAAGCAGTGGATATGCTGAAGCAGATGATAATTATGCCACCAAGTACAGTAGATATAATAGAGAAGCCCATGAACACACCAGCCTTGGAGTTAAATAAGAACACATGAAAATTTGGTTCCGTCGCCATTTTGGCACTTAATTAAAGTTGCGCAGTGAAGACCGCAGACCCGAGGAACGGGAGCGCGGGTTTGCATTCAACTTGGGGACCTAGTTTGCATTTTTAAGGCTGCTAACAGACTTCTGGGTCAGTTAGGATCTCAGCAAATTGTTAAACTTCTTGTAAAC